AAAAAAAAAAAAAAAAAAAATGCTGGGTTCAGATTTTGTAACATCCAGATCTACAAAAAAATTGTGTGATGCTATAAATTCAGGCAAAGAAAAGGAGGCCCAAGAATAGGCTGAGGTCGTATAGGCTGAGAATTGCATGGTCTCCTAGTCCCTTGGACTAATTGTATCTATGCATCTTTAGTTTTCTTCATTCTTCTTTGTTCTGGATGAGAAACAATCCATCATTGCATCTGGATGGCTACTTGCAAGCTTTTAAGACTCCAGTTGCTACTCCAAAGTAGCATGTGGAACAGTGCTTTTGTGTAGTATGTTATGACAGTTAAGCTTGATGTCCCCACCGACCATGGTCCCAAGCCAACAGGTCTAGGTACTTGTTCCCTCTGGGTAGCTGGCTGTGGCCAAGAAGTCATGACAACCTTGTCCCTTGTCAGCTCCACTATACACATGGACATTCATACAGCATATACAAATATGCACGTAGAAACATCATCTGCCAACCCTGTACGTGGGCATGGGTACACTACCCCCTGCCTAGGCATACCTGATCATTCAGCCTGTCCACCCATATAGATCAGTGCTTGCCATCACTGACCACACAGTACTATACATGAAGCAGCAGCTCTTTTGCACTTATATTTTGAGTGCTTTCCAACTAAGGAGCTCATCTTTCAGCACTGTATCAGGTGGTGTTTCCCTTCTATTTATAAAATTTTCAATGCCCAGTGTTTCCAGAAGTGGGCTCGGTCACATCCTTATTACTAGTCTGTGTTAATCCAAAAGTGCCTGTAACGTTGTCCACAGTCATTGACCCTGCTGGTATTTGAAATAACAATGACTTGGCTTCCAATGTCACAGGAACACACAAGCCACCACAGTGTGACAAACTGACAGGTGAGTGGTGAAGAGGTTTGATGTGAGAGATTATTCAGAAGGAAAAAGTTTTAAAGATGGTTAAGATTAAAGACTGTCTAGTAAGTTGTGTAGGGCCCACTGTAATAATACTTACCGTGAACTAGATTAAAAGTTTACATGGCAAAACCTTTAATAAAAATCTCATGCTTATATTTTTTCTAGATGAAGTTGACAGCCTTTTATGTGAAAGAAGAGAAGGAGAACATGATGCTAGTAGACGGCTAAAAACTGAATTTCTAATAGAATTTGATGGCGTAAGTTTTTTTTTTTTTAAACGTGGTAATATTTATATTTATATACACAAGCCAGCATGATAACATCTGTAGATATCCCTACAAATGACTCAAATAATACAAATATTTTTATTATATTTTTCTTTGTTGTTACTTTTTCTGAAAGTTTTGAAAACATTATTTTGGCTTTTTTGGCTTATAGGTACAGTCTGCTGGAGATGACAGAGTACTTGTTATGGGTGCAACTAACAGACCACAAGAGCTTGATGAAGCTGTTCTCAGGTAGGGAGGTTTATGTGAATACACATTTGCTACAGATGTATTTATATAAGTGCTCAGTTACATATTTTTTATTTCCTTTATTCTCAATTTTAAGACAAATTGTATTCTTTTTTCCCTGTACTATCCTCTGACCTCTTCCTAGCAACTAAATAAGGTTTATGAGACAGGACTAATATATCAAGAGAACTAGTCTTCACTTTGCGATTTTAGACAAATTACTCAAATTTTTTTGTATTACATTAAATTATCTTTAAACTCTAAAATTTATTTTTACAGTTTTTTACTGGCCTTCATGAGAAGATTATACAAGCAGGTCTCATGAGAACTATGTTCTTTGTTCTTAAACATTTGAACAAATTAATTGCCTTCATTATTGGACTCAGAATCAAATTCTTTGGCCTCCTTTTCTTTGCCTGAATTTATAGCATTATACCATTTTTTTGTAGATCTGAATGTGCAAAATCTGAACCTAGCATGAGTTTTTGTTTTCTTTACCAGATAAAATTTTCAGTTATTGAAGGTTTGTTGTTTGGTGAAAGTTGATTAACCTGTAATTTGTTTTGTAAGATTTTGTTGTACCTTTAAATGGGTAGTTTGGAACCTCCTTTATTTTAGAAAGGTTATTTTGAATACTCTTTAATATTTTTTCCTAAGCCATCATTCTGGGTTTTATCTTCACACAAATTAATGGAATATGCTGTATCTTTTTTGTCTTCTGTATCTGTAGTTTCCTTTCTAATCCTTTTTAAATCCTTTATGGTTTTAGATCTTTATGGTTTTGTTTTGTTTTATTTTCCTAAGCCTGTCATCCTTTTTTCATAAGTAGTGTCTAATCCTGTCTGCTACTTCTGTTGTAACATTTGTATCTTTTGTAATTTTCTTTCACATTCTAATGATTTCCTGACCTCTTCTATCCCACTTTTTAATCTTCTCCTGTTTCTTTGAGCCTTTGTATGTCATTTCCCTCAGCTTTTATATCTCATTGAATTCTTTTTCATAGACCACCCCCCCCCATTTAATTCTTTTATTTCATGGTCACAATTTTCATTTGCTCTGTGGCAAAATCTTGTATAGATTCTTCATTTTATCTACTTTATGTTTACCATTCTCCTACCCAACCCCACCCCCCTTTTTTTGGATAGCTTTTTGTTTTTTTAAATCCTATGTCTTTTCCCTTTGTTTTCCACTTATTTATATTTGAATAAGGAAGGTTTTTTTGGGATCTTTTTTTAAATCTTTTTTTGAAAAGTCAGAAAGGCAAAATACTGGGGAGATATCATGAGTTATGGGAGCTCTGGTAGCGTAGTGCCTAAAGCACTTGACTGCTAACCAGAAGGCTGGCGGTTCAAACCCACCAGCCACTCCTCGGAAAGAAGGTTGGGCAATCTACTTCCATAGTGATACTGCCTCAGAAAATCAAGGAGGGGTTGCTATGAGTCAGGTCTGACTCGACGGCACATAACAACAACAAATCATGAGTTACAGAGT